TTTTGAAATATCACAAAGTTCTGTTCAGAGCTTATATTAAACGAAAAATAAATACACAATACTAGAACAATAGTTTTAATGTGATTTATTGGAACACTACAATTAGCCCACGTCTATATTAAATGACTGTTTAACTCACTTGTCTGTGCAGCGTCTCTCTACTATGGCGAAGCTGAGGGTTGTACTTACTTCAGAAACAGAGAGAATATGCTGTAACTTTTCTGTTTTTAAGCTGATAAATCACAGGACAGTTTTGACAATAATTTTTTGCACTCCTGAATGTTTCTATGTGCGTGTGATCTGTACGTTATGTGGAGGTCCCTTGCAGCAAGTGTGTGATGCGACAGGCTGGTCCACCAGGTTCAATAGTTTGGATGTCCATGCTATTTCAGACTCGCCTGTCCTTGAATCAACATCCCAAGGTCATGTCTGAGACCTCTCCAATGTTTGTGCGCACACACTACACAACCTTGAGGGGTCCAGACACTTTCCAGTGCAGCGGCGCTGGTATTCTTGTTGCCGTTAGCGTTAATGAAATGCAGCATCAAGTGTAGATTTTGATAGGGAGAGTCTCCAGTTACTTGACTGTAACCCTGTTCCCAGAAAAAGCGGGAACGGGACACTGCACCTCATTGCCGTACTGTGGGTGTGCCTGAAAGACTCTTCAGACAGAGTTATAACCTGAATGTGTGTCCGTTTCACATTTATTTATAGCCTCTCAAAAGCATGCATTCCAATGACGACAGGCAGAGTTTATTTAATCCGAATGTATAGCATTTTTGCCACATATGCTTCACAACTGGTCAGGACATTCTCATGAGCATTAATGAAATGCAGCATCGCCTTCCCGCTTTTTCAGGGAACAGGGTTACAGTCAAGTAACCCCAGACAAAATGACAAACTCCAAAACACTGGACAGTTCAAGCCACATTTATCATAAAACAGTTTTTAAATGATTTTTTATGATATCTTTCAGCTTTGTCCAAGCTTAAAATTCATTACTGCAAGCCACAATCCAGACTTACTGACTCATACTGCATTTAGACTCAACTACAGCACTGCTCACACAAAACATGACTGGTTTAATTGAGTGGATGCATAAACTGATGAACAACTTACATTTGACTATAACATTAAATTTTTCTCAATATTAATGATTTGATTCCAGTATGACCTTGGCTAGAACTGTTGATGTGTGCAAATGACAGTGTGCATTTCAAAAGACTTTCAGAGAGATGAAATGAGTAGAAACAAATGAGTCTTGCACTTTTACGTACGGTTGCGTTTGGCCTCTTGATCTCCCTCCTCATCATTATCAGGGTCGATGTCCTCAGCTTGTGTGATCCAATCCAGATAGCCCTTCAGATCCTCCTCAAGCTGCTGCTTCTCACGCAGTTTCTGGAAATCTCCACGAGCTTTGGCCTTCTCACGCTCCTTAGAGAACTCTCTGTGGTGCACACATGTGAACAAATTCCCTCTAGCAACAATGTACTGTACAGAAGAGATCATATACACAGATACAGACCATGGAAATTATGGTTTGGTAATAGCACTTTGAAGGGCGCAGTTATGAAATTACAGAAATTGAATGTGAACAGCATTTGGATAAAATAACTCACCCACTGAGAACGCCCAATACTAGATTGAGGACAAAGAAGGAGCCAAAAATGACCAGAGTGACAAAATAGACCCAAGGCAACTCAGAGCCCATAGCATCATTCATCTGAAACACACAACGACACACAGCAACTCTCAGATTAACTCATGTTACCATGTCTACCCCTATGAACATAAATATGGCAATAAAAGAATGAACAGAAGAATGGCAGGTAACACTTTAGAATAGGGAACACTTATTCACTATTAACTACGACTTTTCCCTCAGTAAATTCCTAATTTGCTGCTTATTAATAGTTAGTAAGGTAGTTGTTAAGTTTAGGTATTGGGTAGGATTAGGGATGCAGAATAAGGTCATGTAGAATAAGGCATTAATATGTGCTTAATTAGTACTAATAAATGGCTAATATACTAGTAATATGCATGCTAATAAGCAACTAGTTAAGAGACCCTAAAATAAAGTCTTACCGAATGGCAATTCTAACTGCACTCTCAGCTGCTAATCATGTATGACATTTTAGCAAATATAAGAAATTAATTAATTAATTAAATTAATTTTAAAAGTAAAATCTACTTATTTCAAGATTTAAATTCAGATTTGAAATGAGAGAGCATGCAAATAAGCAATTCTCCTTAGGCAGCGTCGACCAATGAAGTTCCAGAGCAATTTAGATGAGCATGTGGAGTAGGGAACACATATTAACTATTAACTAAGAGTCTTCCCTCAATAAACTTCTAATTTGCTGATTATTCATTATAAGTAAGGCAGTTGTTGTAGTGCTTATGTTTAGGTATTGGGTAGGGTTAAGGGGTCTAGTCATGCATTAATATGTACTAATAAACAGACAATATGCTAGTAATATGCATGTTAATAAGCAACTAGTTAATAGTGAACAGTGTTCCTGTCAAGGTTATTATAGTTTTGAATTTTTAAATTAGTTTTATTTTAATATCGTTTTCAAATTTTCTATAAAATTCAGTTCAGTTTTTATAGTTTTTTTTTTTAGTTTCATTCATATTTTTGTTAGTTTTAGTTTAGTTTTTAGTTTTTTAGCTTTTTTAGTATTTGCACGGTCCTATACAGAACTCCATCCACCTCCCGTACTCGGGGCCACTGTTTTACCAACTGTTGAACTTCTCTTGACATGTTCTTCAATTCAGCAACTGTTGGTTGCTGCCCCTGCACCCAAAATTGTTGAAAGGCCTGGATACATGGGTCCGCGGCCTGCAAAGCTCTCAAGTCTGCCTTACTATGAACCAGAACAGCGTCCACTGTTAACGATTCCACCACCTGGGGGCCCAACCCAGGTGGTTTCTCCAGCATTGCAATTGACTGAGGAACCGTAATACCTGATAATACAACTGCCGATTGATCAGAATGCGAAGGGAGCCTAGAAAGTGCATCTGCATTTCGAGATCAGAATGCGAAGGGAGCCTAGAAAGTGCATATGCATTTCGATTTGCAGCTCCTGGTCGATATCTAATCTCGTAGTTAAATAAAGCCAGTTGGGAAACCCAACGCTGTTCAACTGCCCCCAAATTCGCCGACTCAAGATAGCGCAGTGGATTGTTATCAGTATAAACAGTGACCTTATTACCAAGAAGATATTCTCTAAACTTCTCTGTCATTGCCCATTTCAGGGCCAAAAGCTCCAGCTTCATTGCACTATAGTTAGTCATGTTCCTCTCACTTAGTCGAAACCCGCGACTAGCAAAAGCAATTGGTCTCCGCAGCCCCCCATGTTCTTGTGATAACACTGCCCCCAAACCTAAATGGCTCGCGTCAGTCTCTAAAATAAAAGTACGCGAGAAATCTGCATACCCTAAAACAAGAGCCTGAATGAGCCGCTCTTTTAAGTCATTAAATGCTGTCTCACAGCTATCATCCCAATGTTGTTCAAAAGAACCCTGCTTAGTGGTTGCACACCGCTTCCGAGTGCCCTGTAAATTCCCAACTAATTTATGCAGGGGGGCTGCTAGTCTAGCAAAACCCTCAACAAACCGACGATAGTATGAAAACTGGAATTGGGGTTGCAAATATTGCTCATAAAATTGCTGGTTAACCGTAGTCACCATAGATCCTGTGTCCAGCAAGCATGCCACAGTCACCCCACCAATAGTAATCTCTACTGTTGGACATTTACCTAGAAGTCGAAGCTCATCAACAGAGGGGTTGCCCAAGAGTTCCCCACCCGGCACATGGGCAGTGCTGCCGGGGGGCACTAGTTTTCCGATGACTGAGTAGAGGACCTAGGCCCTGCAGCTACCCTCAATGTCGTACCCAATTCAGTTTTACAAAATCTTGCAATATGACCAGGTTGATTACAACGCAAGCATATAGGTCTACCATCTGGATGATAGCGATAATGTTGGCTACGAATTCCAACCTTTGGAACAGAAGGAGCTGGTGGCAAGAAAGATCCTGAAACAGCTTGAGGAACAGAGGACTCTAAATGCTTAAGAATAGTATCTAGCTGAGCCTGCTGTTTACGAAGACTTTCTTTGACTTCAGTCAACTCATCTGAGGGCTTATTTAGGATAGCATTAGACTGTGCTGAGAGGTCGGTAACATTAGTAATGCTACAAGACTGGGCACGAGGTCGCTGCATACAGGGATTTTCACCTTCTTCCACCCAACGCAGGGCTTCCTGTCTGGCATTAGCCAATGCACATTTGTTCAAAAGCCTGGCAGAGTGATCACAAGATGCTAGGCAAAAGTTTTGTGTTGTTTACAGAAAGGATGCGCATTCTCATATTTTTTTCTGTTAATTGTCATGTTGCGCTGCATGTCTTTTTCTTCAAAGCACCAACTTAGAATGCCTAATGTTGGTTTGATTGCTTGTGTTACAAGATAAAATAAATAATCTTGCTTACCTGATGTAATAGATTTAATGCGAGTGCAGTTCGGGTCACGACTCGCTGTGATGCGGCATTACAGGTAGGCTATTTCCCTAAACCTCCACACAGCTCGTATATTTTTCCGCCAAGGGGTGAGAACGGCATGATTGCGAAAACGATTATTTATTTTTGATAATTATTATTTTATTTCAGTTTACGAAATTGTTTTTTCATCAATCGTTTTAGTCTTAGTTTTAGTTTTCGTTTACAATAATAACCTTGGTTCCTGTCACAGAGTCACTTCCATCCTCTGCAACAGATTCCTTAGCTCCTCCCACCTGCACCAGTTAATTAAGAACCCTACTGAAACTCTCCATCTCACCATTGTCTGGTATCGTCATTCCCTTGGAGCTACTTACCTGACTCTCTCCTGCAAATACTCACCTTCCATCCATCTGATGCCCCTGTCTGTCCTCAGTCTATCAGTCAATCCAGTTTAACCATCATGCCAGCATCTTTTTCAAGTTGGACCTGCAGAGTGCGTATAACTTCATTCGGATACGTGAGGGTGATGAATGGAAATCCGCCTTCGTTACACCATCAGGCCACTATGAATATCAGGTCATGCCATATGGACTGGAAAACTCACCCTCCGTGTTCCAGGGATTTATGAATGAGGTGTTCCGGGAGTTCCTCCATTGTTTTGTCATTGTCTATATTGATGACATCCTGATCTACTCCCGGAACCTGGCCGAACATAGCCACCACGTGACGCTGGTCCTTCAGAAGCTCCGTGAGTACAACCTGTACCTGAAACTGGAGAAGTAGGAATTCCACTGTAGCACCATCCACTCCTCAAGATATGTTATCAGTGAGTGAGGCATCCAGATTGACCAGAGGAAGGTGCAAGCAGTCAAAGATTGGCCTCAACCATCTTCTGTTAAAGATTTACAATGATTCTTAGGATTCACCTACTTATACAGAAGATTAGTCTCCAACTTCAATCAGATCAGTTCACCTCTCACGTCACTATTCCGCAGCAGGCCCAAATGTCTGTTCTGGACCCCCAAAGCCCTCTCTTCCTTCACGGCACTCAAGGAAGTCTTTTGTACAGTTCCTACCCTAGCACATCCTTGAATCTTGAATACCTCCATGAGGCCAAGAGACTAAATCCCAGACAAGCCCATTGGGCCCTCTTTTTCACCCGTTTCCAGATCACCGTAACCTACCGTCCAGGTCATAAGAATCAGAAGGCCGACATTTTATCCCATTTGCACAATCTTGACCCCAGTCCATCAACACCAGAACCCATCCTCCCTCCAGCCATTATAGTCAGTCCCATCTAATGGGCTCTTGATGATCAGATTGCAGAGGCCACACGCTCAGAGCCAGCTCCACTGGGAGGTCCTGAGTGTTTGGTATATGTTCCATCAACCCTCCGCTTGTCCCTCATAGACTCAGTCCACACTTATCCAGGCTCTAGACACCCAGGCAGTCAGCAGACCCTCTCATTCCTCAAAATCAGCTACTGGTGGCCCAATATGGCCCGGGATGTCTCCCAGTACATCCGTGGATGCTCAGTCTGTGCACCAAGGTTCCAACGCCATCTACCTGAGGGAAAACTGATACCCCTACCTGCTCCACACCATCCGTGGTCCCACATCAGAATGATTTCCTCACAGATCTACCTACCATCCACAATCAAAAGGCGAGTGGAAGATCCAGGAGATCATGAGATACTTAAGGTCATATTGTCACGATCTCCAACACAGCTGGAGCTGCTACCTTCCCTGGGCCGTGTATGCTTTGAATTCTCTACGCTAAACGACCACCAGTCTCACCCCGTTCCAATGCATACTCTGTTACCAGCCGCCCCTGTTTCCCTGGTCAGGTGAGCCTTCAGAGGCTCCAACTGTAAACCAATGGTTCCAAGAGAGCGAGAGGGTTTGGGACTCAGCTCACATCCATCGACAGTGAGCAGTACAGAGACAAAAGAGCCAGGCCAATGCAAGAAGAGCTGCTACTCCCCAGTACCATCTGGGTCAGAAGGTTTGGCTCTCTACCAGGGACATCCGTCTTCGCCTGCCCTGCCGTAAGCCGAGTCCCCGCTACAATGGTCCATTCACCATCCAAAGACAGATCAATGAAGTCATCTACCAGTTGAATCTTCCATCACATTACCGTATTTCTCCATCATTCCACGTTTCACTTCTCAAACATTTCACTAACCCTCTGTTCACATCTTCCTAAGGGTCTGATGTAGATGACATACCTCCTCCTCCCATTGATACTGAAGAAGGCCACATCTATAAGGTGCACAAAATCTTGGACTCCCAATGACAGGGAGGTCGCCTGGAATACGGCCAAGAAGAATGTTCATGAGTTGCCCGAGACGACTAGATCCTGCTCTGCTAATGGAATTCCACACCAACAATCCCAGTCGCCCGGCACCCAGAGGCAGAGACCGTCCCCGTAATCGTCGGCCACTGCGGTCATCAGGGTTGGGGTGGAGGGGTGGCAGCTGTCACAGAGTTGGTTTCATCCTCTGCAGCAGATTCCTCAGCTCCTCCCACCTGATCTGAGTCACCAGAATTCTAACCATTTTATACATAATATTAAGCTGAAACATTCCTAATGTATTAAATAACGCTGAAATTTTTGTAAAATGCTTCTATTTGCCCTATTCAGTGTTCTAAAATATAAAATTAATAATTTCCAAAAAAAAAAAAAATATCATTCAAGCAGAGAGATTTCATGACAAACGTTTAGTGATCATTTGAACACGAATGAATTAATTCAAGGCACACATTTTCATTACACAGAACTATTTAAGCAAGTCTTTTTTGACCTTCACTAAACAAATGTGTGTGTGTGAAACGCAAACCAGCAAAAGATAGAGAAGCAAATGTGTAGGCTTAGTAGAAAATGTATGTGACGCACAGAGACGGCAACGCGGCTGTTTGATTGGCAATCACGCTGTGCTTATTCCATTCATTTGTGTATCATACAAGGTTTAAATCATTGACAAATATACACAAATAGAACATGTATGATGTTGTACAGTTGATTTTCTTGCCAAGCTCTGATTTCTGAGATGCACGGAGAGGCAACAGCAATGCTGTTTTTTGATTTGCGCTCATTTCATTCATAAAGTTTACATTCATTCACTTCACACACTCATTATTGTGTAGTGACTTTAGAGTTTTATGTATAATATTGCGCTGATCCCCTGGCTCACCCGTTATCCAGCAAACACCAGGAGTGACCGTGCCAGCCTCAGCCAAATATTATTCAGGCAGAATTATTCGTTATCCGTTATTCGTTTTGAAGCCATTATCCGTGCCTTTCTAAATAAGGTATTCGGCTTCTGGCACCCCCCTTCATGACACTGATGGCACTAAAAGTAAGTTGCTAGTGCTGAATTTTAGTATTGATAAATTAAAGGGAAATCATATATAGGTCATGACTTTCGGTTATCTGTGAACTAAATATGTGGTAAAGGGGAAGATTTTGAATGAAATACTTTATCACGTTCTCTACAGGGATTCCACTGATCTTCCCTGCTGCAGATGCCATTTAAAATGATATAACACCTAAATTGATACTACATTAAAGTATGTTTAGGTAATAAAATAAAATGTTTGCTTATTTTCAGAGCAATACAAGTTTCTTCATCTACTACTCTTCCTTATTCTAGGATTAAGTATTAAAAATTGCAGAATGAATAAACATGGTTAATTGATCAATACTTTTAATACTTTAAGTACATTAAAAATCAAGTATTTCTGTGTTTTGTATATAAGTAAAATGGAAAAGGATTACTTTTACTTGAGTAATACTTTATTATGGTATCTGTACTTCATCCACCACTGATAAGCAGAGGCTGACATGTTTTCCTGTGTTCTCATTTTTGCCCGTCTTCTGACTTTGTCCCTTCAGTCTTAGAGGGTCAATCTCATTAGCATTCATTGAGCTCTCTGTGTGTCATGGAAAAGTGCTTAGAGCGGAAGTGAACGCTCCCCGCAGGAAAGAACAAAGAGTATGTCAGCGACAGTGAACATTTCAGAGACAGGAAGCCATTGCGAGTCTCACCCAGTACAGCACATCAGTCCAGCCCTCCATGGTGATACACTGGAACACAGTCAGCATGGCAAACAGGAAGTTGTCAAAGTTTGTGATGCCGTTGTTGGGCCCATGCCAACCATCCCTACACACAGTGCCACTGAGAGGGCAGTGACGCCCATGACCAGAAAGAGAACAGGGAGCGGGATCCTCCTCTGCTAATGTACCTGTGTGGAGAATAAGAAATATGTGGCTCATTCTCAGGAAATTGTGTCATTTAAGTACTGTGTATGTGAGCGTACTAGTTAGGATATCTTCTATCTTCTATCTTCTATCTAAGACATATTATTTGATAGATTATGGTGCGTGTGTGTGTGTGTGTGTGTGTAATGCAAAAGAAATGTTAAAAACAGAACTTTTATAGTTTATAAATAGTCTAGCGAATGTGAGAACACACTGACGCGTGCCGTTCAGATAGCAGGTTGCGTGCATCTTCCCGATGAATAGCTCCAGTCCGATGATGGCATAGATGATGATGACGAAGAGTACGAGCAGAGCAATGTGCAGCAGAGGAACCATGGCTTTAATAATGGAGTTCAGCACTACCTGTAAGCCTACACACACACAGAGACATATTATCAGCATGTTATCAGGCTGTTCTGGCTGTGATTGCTGGGTAAAGATGTGGACGCACTTGGCACTCCTGAGACCAGGCGGAGGGGCCGCAGAACTCTGAACGCTCGTAAAGCCTTGACATCAAACCCGCCCGGCTTCCCACCTGACTGCCCGCTGACGTCTCGATCTTTGGTTACCAGCTCCAGCACAACACTGAAGAGACTAAACACACACACATAATGTGAGTTCAGGTTATTATGTTATATACAACAGCATAAGTGAAATGCAACAGTAGAGGACTGCTATTCCTTTCCTTTGCGCAAACATAGAGATGTTATGTTTTTGAACGATCAGTCAAAATTTCCAAGGGCAGTTGATCATGCAGTTCATTTGTTCATTTTTCAAGATTACTGGCTGGTTTTGGGAATGAAATGAGCACTAGCCTCTCTGAATATCTAGTATCTAAATTTCAAGTATCTTCACAACTCCTTTTTACCATAACGTTGGGATGTCACAGATAGAACAGGGTCGCCGTGATTTTGCCAAGTAAGACATGTTCCTGGATCAATATCTTTTGTTGATCCTGGATCAACATTACTGTCCAAAAATAAAGACCTAACTCAATACCTACCCCTAAACCTAACTCTACCCATATTTTATTCCTAAAATCAGAGGGAAATGATAGGTGAATAACAAGGGTGTAGAAGCATCTAACCCTGATTGTAAGCCTAAAACTGGCATTTCTTGAAAACGTATCCCTCAATTCTGATTAGTTGATTGGAATGTTGTTCCAGGATCAACAACGATGTTGATCCGGGAACATGTTGTACTTGGTGAAATCACGCTCACCAATAGAACAGACAGACAAAATGGTGGATAACAACAAGGCCTGTTAGCGCAGCAATTTAATTGGTTATTTGGGCTGTTAGTCATTTATTTGTTTGCAGAACTTTTGTGGTGTGCTGCATGTTTTTTTTTTTATACTTAACTTACTTAACTATCCTCTAGGGATGTATGAATAAATATATAAATGGTGATAACCAAAAAAAAATCTAACAAATGGCTTATTGTAAAACAATGCAACTGCATAATTTATACATTCCACAATGCATGAGGGGTCCCACCACCAGCACCATATCTGGTAATCAAATTATTTTAGTTGGATGAACTTATTTCTAAGGATTATTCAGCTTTACATACTGATCAACATGAACACAAAAACTTGACTGGTGTTACTTAACATTCTGGGGGAAAAACACCTACATACAAAATATGTATGTTAATTACAATAATACAATAATAAGCTCATACCACTTACTCGATAGTACCTCAATTTGAAATTAGAGAAATAAAAAGCTATAATTAAGTGTTCTTAACTGTGTACAAATAAATATAGATATACAGACAGAAGTGAACAGCTAGTGATGATGAAAACACAAGCTGAAGGTGGTAATGTATTACAAATACTAGAAATAACAAATGACTATAGGACATAATGCCAAGTCAGGTGGGTTTATCTTTTGCACATTTCATGGGCCTGTATCAAATAACCCTCATCTGGCTCTGAGGCTAGGGGATGTCACAGATGAGATTCAGCGTGATCTCTGAGGATCTTACAGCAGCACAATCTCTGTCTAGCATGACCTCTGACTTCATGCACTGGATGCCTCCTCCCTGAGAGGAGTTGATCCCATTACATCGGGTCAGAGATCAGCACTTGATCAGGTTGTAAGCTCTTGTGAACAGTTGCCAGCTATGTGCCAGACAAAATCCTTTCAACAATTTCCAGCTGACATGAACTACTTCCAACAGAGTTGTTCAACCATGACATCAGTTTGTAGGCCAACACAGAAGACCAAACCGCCGTCATTAAAACATTATTTAACATGCTATTTGATGGTAAACACACAAAGTCACACTTACAAAACACCAGACAATTAAGAATGTGCATACATAACTGATGTGATTTGTGTTTGTGAAAAAGTTCTGTGAAACTATGGTTCTGGGAAATGTTCAACTATGTTAGTAACGTTGGAACTTGTGACCATAGTTGGCTAAGGGCTGGAAAACACTACATGTCTTCTGCCCAGATTTTTTGCCCCAATTTACAGTAGGAGAAGTTGATGCTAGTGAAGCCAGAGCCAGTCTGCAGATTGGAATTGACAGATTTCACAGAAAACTGCATAGTGTATGATGGTCACAGACTCTGATTTTTTTAGCTTCAGACTTTGATTCCATCCAGTCGGAGGAGATCAAGCATGTTTGATATTTTGAGCCGATTTTAGAACACATGTTGTTTTCATTTGTCATGCGTCTCCTAGCAACAAGGTGCACGTTTCAGCAAGAGTTTATTGTGATAAGTGTTTAGTGTAGGATGGCCAGTTTTTCCTCTGTGACAAAGTCAGTAAGTGTATGATGCCTAGTGTTTTAAATTCTGTTCAGATTTTAAAAGTCATGTAGTGTATTTCAGCCTTGATGCTTTTGGGAAACACATACCAGAGCATTACTTGAGTTCACTCTTTATTATTTATATTTTATTTGTACTTTTGATGCTTAAGTAAATTTATAATTAATCTCAACATTTACATTAGGTACTTGAGACTATTTCCATATAGGTATCTACTTTTAATCAAGTATGATGATTAGATACACCATAGAAAAGAAAGTAACATGACAAAGTGACTTAGAATATCAGAATATATTTCCTTATTTTATCATTTCCACATCATTCGTCAAGCAAATAAACTCATATCCTCGTTCTGCACACAGAAAGTGTCAAACATTCTCACTAGCCCTGTGCGTCATCTGACCAAATATCTTCTGAAGAGACAAAAACACATTATGTGATGAACAGATTAATATTTAGGCTTTAATTCACATACAGTACATAATAAACATTGATAAATGCACATCAAAAATGGTAAACGCAAGCTCAACAATAATTGCTTGACACACAAGAACAAACCTCATTGGCAAAAAAAATAAAAGCCTCCATTTAACATATTTTATGTGCTTTATGTTTGTGCTTGGACCAATATCAATTTATGAACAAAAGCCTAAATTAAATATGTTCATCAAATAAAGCCACTGTCTCTTTAGAGATTAATATGGATTAATTTTACAATGTCATATGAACTGTTTTGAAGCTTGAAATATTTGGAATTTTAAAAATATCTGCAACACTGTAGTTTAGGGACCAATTCTTACTATTAACTAGTTGCTTATTAGCATGCATATTACTAGCATATTGGCTGTTTATTAGTACTTATAAAACACAAATTAATGCTTTATTCTTCATGACCATATTTTATATCCCTTAATCCACACCATACCTAAAATTAATTACTACCTTACTAACTATTAATAAGCAGCAGATTGGGAGTTTATTGTGGCAAAAGTCGTAGTTAATAGTTCCTTCCCCAAACTGAAGTGTGACCAAAATATCTTCATTTGTGAAGGTCTTATGAGTTTGGAACAACATAGGGGTGAGTAAATGATGATATTGTTGTGTGAACTAACTATTTAATAATACAGGTTGTAAAATAGAACCTACTGATGAATAAGAGTTCATCATAAATGGCCAGTCCATACAACTTGGCCAATACTCACATATAGACTCATTTATATAGATGGTGCTCAGGGTCTTACACACCAAAACCATCAGGGTAAGGCACGGGACGTAAATGCATGCAATAAATATTAACTAAATAAAATGCAACATAAACACTCTGCTGTACAAAGCTGATGACCAAAATAAGAAAAAAGTCATGTAAATATAATCATATGTAATGCATTACACAGGAACTTTTGGGAATTATATAGCACATAGATTTAAACTGTAAATTATATAGTAACATATATACAGTGCCTTGCGAATGTATTCATACTCCTTTTTTTCACGTTTTGTTATATTGCTGCCTTATGTTAAACTGCTTTAAATTACTTTTTTCCACATCAATCTACACTCCATACACCATAATGGCAAAAAACAGATGTGACAACTTTGCAAATTTATAAAAAAAACAAAAAAAACAAAAAAACAAAGGAAAAACTGAAATAAGTGCTTTGCATAAATATTCATACCCTTAACTCGGTACTTAGTTGAAGCACCTTTGCAGCCTCAGGTCTTTTTGGGTATGATGCGACAAGCTTTGCTCATCTGCATTTGGCAATTATCTATCAATGGTTTTTGCTCTGATATGCATTTTATTGAGAGGTGTGTGCCTTTCCAAATCATACCCATTCAACTGAATTTGCACAAGTTAACTCCATTCAAAGTATGAATGCTCATACTTATGAATATGAATGCTCCTGAGCTGAATGTGAATGTAGAAAAAAGTAATCTAAAGCAGTTTAACATAAGGCAGCAACATAACAAAAACTGAAAAAAAAAAAAAAAACTTTTGCAAGCATCTGCATTTGGCAATTATCTATCAATGGTTTTTGCTCTGATATGCATTTTATTGAGAGGTGTGTGCCTTTCCAAATCATACCCATTCAACTGAATTTGCACAAGTTAACTCCATTCAAAGTATGAATGCTCATACTTATGAATATGAATGCTCCTGAGCTGAATGTGAATGTAGAAAAAAGTAATCTAAAGCAGTTTAACATAAGGCAGCAACATAACAAAAACTGAAAAAAAAAAAAAAACTTTTGCAAGGCACTGTATATATAGGACTACAAACTAAACAGCTGTAAACATCAAGATTTCTGTAAATGAGTAACCATGGTAACATTACAGAGGGTATTTACATTTAGACATTTAGCAGACGCTTTTATCCAAAGCGACTTACAAATGAGGACAATGGAAGCAAATCTTTATATCTCAATTGAATTTTTTTATCTCAAATATTTATGATCATAGGTGAGTTTGTCACCCCTTCTTATCTAGATAGCAGTGTTCAGCAAGTTTTCTGCTTATTCAATAGAATTTCTCGTTTAATTTCTTGAACATTTTGGAAAATTATGCACATTATGATTTCTCATTGCCACATATTCATACTAGCACACAGAAAAGTCATTCTAAATGGTCAAGTTGATGTGTTGTTCACCAAACAACTGCATCACTTTAGCGTGCTACACTTTAGCACAAAACCCTGTGATTATTTTAATGAGCACAGGAAATGTCACATCACAAAACAGTGTCAAATCGTGAAGACAGATCAACATTTTGCACAATCACCATCAGAGGACAAGCACTCAGCAGTCATTGCTCTGACAAAGCATCATCATCTGTGAAAATCTACAAAGCTGGTATTAAGATACAGACAAATGTCTCAGGGATTCCCAGTAGACTTCTGCTTGATTATTCTTGAGCTGTCTTGAAGGGTCTGTTCATTTGATAAGTATTTTGGATTACATTCATTTATTGGGTATCTATGAGTTACATAGTTCAGATTACAGAAAAGATGCGAGGATAAATCTGAAGTAACATCACAGCTGTTCAACGTTTAAAGGACGCTGTGAAAAAAGTGTGCTTAATTATATTGAATGTGCACTTGTAACATAATATTAATTAAATAAAAGGCCACTTAAGAGTACTTAAATACAGTATCCTTGTTTCTTAGCACACTTTTATAAAGTGCACTTTGTTATAATGTCAGTTTTATGTGTTTATGTATTGACTAACATACTAAAGCACATGTAAAGTGTTCGATTATAATTTTAACTGTAGCGTGTTATCTGATTTTATATTTAAAGTTTATACATTTTACTGAATTGCAACATCATTACAAATATATTTATAAATACACAAAATACAAGTTTAAATGTTAAATCTGGCAGTACACTTTAACCATACTTCAAAGATAATAAAAGTAATAATATAAAGATGAAAGTCTTTAAAGATGAAAGCTGAAGTCCTACTTAAGTGGGTTAAAAAAGCCGTTCAGCTAATTGCATTTAATACATTTTCATTTAATTGCAAATAAAATACAATTACGTGTCTGAAAACATTACAGGACAAAGGAATATAAAACCACACACGTGTGTGTGCAAATGTGTTCACTTACCCTACAATGACGATGACAAAATCCATCATATTCCAGCCGTTTCTCACATAGGAGTTCTGGTGCATCACAAGTCCATAAGCTATGATCTTGAGAAAGGTTTCAATCGTGAAAATGATCAGGAAGGCATATTCTACCGTTTCCTATGGAAAACAATGACAGAAGAGCAAGATTTTAGTTTAGCTTCTCATTAATCTGTTTTTATTTGAAGAACCAGAGCATGTGACTGGCAAATTAACTAGATTGACCAATGAGAAAACTCAACATGCATAAAAGATTCAGCTTTTATAGATTTAATTTAAACTTTTCATATATCTTTCACATATAAACGAGCTCATCACATATGGTAAACACGTGTCACATGATTGAAACAAACCCCATTGGTTCTCATGCATCACACACACATCCGTTTCAGTTTCTGTGTGATGATGTGCTCAATGAATGTGTGTCGATCATGTTAATCAAAGCCTAAATTAAATGTGTTCATCATATAAAGCGATCATATGTCTTAACAAGACTTTCGTTTCACATGGCTTTGTTTTATGACATCTTTTGGATCCTTTAAGTTTTGGTTACCTGGACTTTCAGTGGAGGGGCAGAAACCTCTCAGTTTTATTAAAAATATCTTTGCATTTTAAATCAATGGCTGCATCTGAAAGCTTAGGCTGCTGACTTCTTGCCTGGGCAGCGTTTTCACACAAAGGAGCCTCGTGAAACTGATTTCGGACAGGCTTCTGAGGCAGCGTAATGGTTTAATGATCTACAGCAAAATAGAGCGAACTTTGGTGAAAACTATGCAAATATTTAAATACTATGTTGGTAATTCAGACGTCATCTTTCATTTTAAGCTCAGCTGTCACGGAATGGAATGCAAAGGATTGTGGGATATCAAAGGAAGCGAAAGATACATCTATGCTGCCTTCAAAAGTCAATCAGAGGAAGTGAAGTTAAAACTGGATTCGGACGTGCCTTGATGCCTTCCAGCCTTAGAATGCATCCTCCGAAGGCAGCATTTCTCAGATTCAGCCTTTGAGTCTTATGGGTTTGGAACGACACGAGGGTGAGTAAATTATGACATTTCTGGGTGAACTATCCCTTTAAAGAACTGCTGAGAGTTTATACAACTTTGATCTATAAACTTCTGCAAGTCATGTGCTGAAGGAAACACAACTGACAATCTTTTGAACCACTTGATTTAGTGCACAAAGGTGTATGAATATGTTCACTGATGAAAAAAAAAAACTCTTTGTGCTTCTCAAGACGTTTCTGTAAACGGCAGAAAAATCAATGGAGGAGAATACAGAGCATCCAGAATTTCAAATGTTACTGAAGGAAGGAGTTTGTCATGAGTTTACTGTACCACAGCTGAGTTGCTGAACCAGTGAACATGACCCATGCTCATGAGCCCAAAGATGAACAAAAGAAACTTGATTCCAAAGTACTGTATCTTTGTAGGCTTTGGAATAGAAACTTAAGGATATAGACTTCATGACCCAAAATATGTAAAAGTCTCTGGATTTGATTTTGATGAGATATGGTCAGATTTGAAATAATTATGATTAAAGCAGCATCAGATGGATATAAAACTAGCCTTCAAATAGAGAACTGAAACAAGAAACTGATACTTCTCTCGTCATTACTTCAGAAATGATAATTAACAGAAATAATAAATTCCAGGTCCATGTACTTTAAACCATGATGTGTACTTTTAACGATAATGAGAATTTTTTTTTTAAAGGATAAATACTGCTGAATACGAAATTAAAGCAGTACACACAAAATGCTACAAGAAAAATTAAATATTTACTTATTTTCATATTTTTGTTTATGGCTTTCTTCACCTTTAATAAACATTTCAAAAATGTACAAATTTAATTAAAAATGACGAGGTTTTTTTTTTAGCCAAATTAGAAATAATTGATCTTCCACACTTTCGAATGAAAAGAGCCATGTCTCTAGAGCCATACAGAGAGGTTATAAATGACATTGCAGAGCACAAAAACTGTCAAATGCTACAATAAAGAGTGCACTGTAGAAATATAACAGTTATAATAAATGTTCCTGGTCTCATATAGATGCTTGTGGTCATCAGTGTAATGATGTGAACACTGTCTTTGATCGCATCTCAACCTACAGGTGACCGGATGACAATAGCTAAGCCACAGCACTAAGAATAGCTACAATAGACTTGGATGACTAGATTAATCCCTTTTGAACAATAAAATCTCTTTGCCGAACATGGCAGGCTGGCAAAATAAATGGGTTCAATCATAGATTCGATCATATGATCAGATGAATACACCTCAATATAAGCCACTATTCCAAACATGGATTTTGGCAGTACATTAATCCATTTTACATCATGCACCCTCCTTTGTCTTAAAGCACTTAAGCTCATCAAATACTTCAGATACTTTCACGTGCGGTGGACTTACATAAGGACAGAGTCTGAGGGCAAAGACAAGCTGCCTGATAGCCATAGTGACGCAGTATCCAGTTTTGTTGATGGTAGCATTAGACTAACAAGGCTAGTGGTTGTCTGCGTGCTCTAAAAGCAAAACCATTTACTTGGTTTCCTAGGCAACATGTTGCCCTGTGGATGGTGTAAAGTGAACAAGGTAGATGTGCTCCTTTATTCAACAGAAGTGATGATGCAGTAGTTTATGAATGGTAATTTGCTGCGTGCAGTTGATCATGCTGAGTGAGCCGTGTCAAAACACACCTGGACCACAGTAAACTGATCCCAGTGCTTGGATTGGGAATTCTTAAGCTTGGTTAGCCTGCTTGCTTGGCAAAATTTGATTTGGTCAGACAGTGCCGTCATTCTCAATTGCAATCATAGTTTCTATTATAGTTCCGGTTTAGTCTCAGCCTCAGACGTCAGGCCCACGGACTGTTGGCTGAACGTCTGATGCATAACGGCACACAAAATTGGAAATACTTCAGTAGTTTCGAAGTCGTCGGATTGGTTGAAATATACAAGATTTCCAGGAGACGTGTGTGTCGTGTTCTTTAACGTTCCACCTGGAAACAAAGATGTCATGATACCAAACCCACTCATGGAAGAATAAAGCCGTCATGTTGACAATGAGCACTTATCAGGAACAACTAAGCGCTGGATTTTCAAAAGTATGTGAAATATTTAAAGTTTGCAGCATAGACTCTTTAAAATAAGTTCAAGACATTCCCACGCCCCTAAACATGACGCGGAACAAAACTAAACATGATTGGTTGCTTTACCTGTCAATCATATGCATGGCCTCATGGGTGGTCTTTGGCCATTCAAAGCAGCCAAGGTTCTGCTGTCAGTCTGAAGGCCTGGCTACGCGAGACTTGTTCGGGTCGGCAAACTGTTCTTTGCTTTATAGTGTGTTATAACAGCCAAACAGCACTAGGAATTTTCACTGTTTTTATCAATCCGCTTGTCTATATTTGTTCCAGATGGATCGTCAGTCTGTGAATTAGTGTTGTGAATTGTCTTTTTGCAGTCATTGTCAAGTCAAGTCATCTTTATTTATACAGCGCTTTATACAATACAGATAGTGTCAAAGCAGCTTTACAGTGTTAAATAGGAAAAACGTGTGCTGATAATGCAGGGGGACAATAGAAAACAGTCAGTTTATCAGTTAAAGTCAGTTCACTATTGATTCAGTGATGTCATTGTCCAGCTCAGTTCAGCTCTCTTCCAATAGTGTCTTTGCAGTCAAGTCAACAATGAGTACGTTTACATGGACAACAATAATCTGATTTTAACACGATTAAGACAATACTCTGATTAAGAATCTACCATGTAAACTGAGATTTTTGATTACCTTAATCTGGCTAAATTCATAATCGAAGTAAACAGAAATCGAATTAAGACATGTGGAGTATTCCTATTTTAGTCGC